GTGTGTGTGTGTGTGTGCGTGTGCGTGTGTGCGTGTGTGTGTGTGTGTATGTTAAAAATATCTTATAAAACATATATTTTCTGATAACTATATCATATTTTTGTACGTAGAAGAACGGATAAAATAAATTGTTACGAGGAAAAACAAAAAGATCTTAAATAAAGTATCGTTGCATTTTGCAGATTCAATAACGTGCAAAATTTAAGTATCACTAATAGATTTTTTGTCATTCTACATACAAAGGTATCAAAGTAAAGTTATCGGAGAAAGTGTGAATATTTTAAGGATATTTTATACTAAAAATATTAGAATTAAATGTATAATATCTTATGTATATCTAAAAACTATTACATTAATATTTATATTATTAAGTATAATATCTTAGAAACTATTCTTTCGATTATCATAAACTACTTTTAAACGCAGAATGGCTCTAGGAATCGATCTGGGTTAAAAAAGATTGTATAATTCCATTAAAAAATTCAAACTAACTTTGAAAAGATCTGAGCGCTCATTACAAGCTCCGTTACATGACGCTCCATTACAAGCTCAAGTCAATAGCATTATTATATACATCCCCTTGTGAAAACTCTACAATTTTTTTCTAAAAATTTTTTTTTATTTTGTTAATATTGTTTTTTATTTTTATGAGTATCAATGTACTATGTATATACAAGAAAAAATATTAAACTGGTAAAACATCTTAAAAACAAAGCATTTTAGAGGAAAATGTTACATAAAAAAGTTATAAGGTTTCAACAAATACATCAAACGGCTACTCATTTTACCTTTTGTATAGATATAAAGATCTTAAAATCACAGCAAATAGGAAAATTTTAAGATCTTAAATGGAAACCACCATTTTTTAAAATCAATATTCTTGTAACTTCAAAATCCATTTAAAATATTATATAAATATTTATTATTATATTTATATTATATAATATAAAATATAATACTCTCTCGATAACTTCCCGCACAAACTATTTCCCCTCCACACGTACAGCTCACTAGGCTAACGCGGGAAGACGCTGAGTGTGCTCTATCCTTGTTTGTTCCTGAAAGTTAAACAACGACAGAGAACGCTCATAGTGTTAAATAGCGTCTCCCCGAACGCAGTCTAATACTAATATTGCGTCCCCATCATATCGACGTTGGCACAAGCGCGCATAATATTGTAACACAGTTGAATAGTGATGTAAGGTTATAAGCTTGCGCGAATGCTTTTTCTTCTTCCTTCTCAATGGCCAAGACTTTTGCCTATCAGCGAATCACGGGCTGACATGCATGCACCGTCAGAAGAAGGGATTCTCGAGAACTTTCTGTTTCCAAGAATTTTCCACAGCTCCTTGGGCGGAAAGTTATCGAGAGAGTACTGTACTACAATGAAATTCTATTTTATTGAGTACTTTTCGAGATTTAAAGATCAAGTACCACCGATATTAGCATTACCCAAAGTGTACTACGTGGAGTATATTTTGGGTACACTGCTGGTCGGATTTATACATCTGTGTATGTCAACAAAAATAAGGATCCAACAGTTTATTAGTCCTGTAGTATTTAATGTCTCTCAATCAATTTCATTTTGCTGTATGTAAAAAAATATTAAAGTTGTCCAAAAGTGAATAATTTACGAGATATTTCATATTTTATACTTACAAGGAGATGCCACAACCTGCTAAATCGATTTCTGAACGAAACATAGCACGTTTGCTAGCTGCGATGTTAAGCATTAACATCCTAATTGAAGTTTGTGCCAATGGGCCTTTGTTTGTAAGAAATTACAATATAAAGTTTGGGTTGCGGGACTGTATCAGGGATATGGCTAAAAATACGACTCTCTTTCAGCGAGGCGACGTGACCGAGCAGACTGAGGCTTCCACGTCGAAAATTTTTTAGCCGGAAGCGAGCGTTCGAAACCCGGCAGCGAAAAGTTATCCTTGTGCGATGTTTTTTTTTTCTTACCTTAGAGTGTGTAATTAAGGTTTTCGAATATGATATATTTGTTTTGCATATGTCTCGTTTTTATGCTATTAATCAGGGGTAATTAGGGAAGTGTCAGGCTTGTTTAACGCAAACACGAATATAGACACATATTTTACATTGCTTACAATAAAATATATATTTTTGTACATCACTTTCGTATGAAAACATTGTATACAACATTGTCATATAATAAAACATTGTAATATGATAAAACTTATACGCTATAAACATCTTTCATTTTTTCGCAATGTTGCGGATGGATTCAAAATAATGCATTTATTGCATGCATTTGGTGCAAACATTTGTTACGTTTTCATTGTTTTTATACTGAATTCTATCTGCAACATTACGAAAAAATGAAAGATGTTTATAGCGTATAAGTTTATAGCGTATTTAATTACATGACAATGTTTTATCATATAATAATGTTTTATTATATGACAATGTTTTATTATATGACAATATTGTATGTAATGTTTTCATATGAAAGTGATGTACTAAAATATATATCTTATTGTAAGCAATGCAAAATATGTGTTTATATTCGTGTTTGCGTGAAACAAGCCTGACACTTTCCTAATTACTCCTGATTAATAGCATAAAAACGAGACATATGCAAAATAAATATATCATATTCGAAAAACATTAATTACATGCCTTAAGGTAAGAAAAAAAAACCGTAGGGATATAACTCGTCGCTGAGTTTCGAACGCTCGCTGCCGGCTCAAGAATTTTCGACGTGGGAACCCCAGTCTGCTCGGCCACGTCGCAAGATAGTCGTATTTTTAGCCATATCCGTGATACAGTCCCGCAACCCAAACTTTATACAGTAATTTCTCACATACAAAGGCCCATTGGCGCAAACCCCAATTAGGATGTTGATGCTTAACAACGCAGCTAGCGAACGTGCTGTCTCATTTAGAAATCGATTTAGCAGGTTGTGACATCTCCTTGTTAGAAGTATGAGAATAAAATGTAAAATATCTTGGAAAGTATTGGATGTACAACTTAGTTCGGTCCGTTTTCAAAAGATGGCTCTG